AGATAGATAGATATAGATATAGATATATGTGATAGAGATAGAAAGAGATAGGTAGGCAATGATATAGATAGAAATAGGCGATGATAGATAGATATAGATGGATAGGCAAAGATAGAGGTAGGCAATGATAGATAGATAGGATAGACAGACAGACAGACAGATAGATAAGTGATGATAGATAGAAAGATAGACAGGTGGATTGACAGATGGATGAAAGATAGTTCTCTCAATCTTTGGAGGAGTCTTGATTCCTGGAGATCACATTGACATACGCCCCTATGCAGTCTTTTTGGCAACTTTTCCAGAACTACCACAGCTTCCTATCTTAGTACTTTCTGAAGGCTTGCGGGGGTGGGGAGCAAATGGCTTTTCACCCAGCTGGCTTCCTGCCCAAGGACCAGGTCTGGGAACCCTTGTCCCCTCGCTTCCAGTCCACACCTTGGACCGCCACACCAAAGTGGAGATGCAAACATCGCCAGGGAAACCCCCAGGAGAAAGTGACGGGGGGGGTGTCTACCAGGTAGCCACGAACACCTGCATCTTGCAGAGGCGTTCCTTCCGCTCTTGGGAAGGCTGACTGGTAGCTTTGGAGAGGGGACTCTTCAATGGCTCTCATTTGTGATTTACAACCTGAAGCTGGGTTTTGACAGACCGCAGGAGAGAAGACAGGTTGGTGAACTGCATCACTTAAAGAGAGGCAGGCCTCTGCAGGAGAAAAAAACCTCCAGCGAAGACTCGTTTTTCTTTGCCATTCCACCCCGGCCATGGTGCAAACCGAAGAGAGCCTGGGTTGCAATCTCCTGCAGAGATGCTGAAAGCCAGATCCAGGCTGGGCTATGGAAATGGGAACCTTATACTACTGGAGAGGTCTTAAGAGTTGAGACAGGTGGCACCCCAAGCATTCTTCAGACAGAGAAGATCCGTTTGCAAGGATGATGAGGGGACTGGAGACTAAAATATACGATGAACGGTTGCAGGAACTGGGCCTGGCTAGTCTAGGGAAGAGAAAGACCAGGGGAGACAGGATAACAGTCTACCAATACTTGAGGGGCTGCCACAGAGAGGAGGAAGGGGTCGAGCTATTCTCCAAAGCACCCAAATGCCAGAAAAGGAGCAATGGATGGAAACTGACCAAAGAGAGATTCAACCTAGAAATAAGGAGGAATTTTCTGACAGTGAGAACAATCAACCCATGGAACAGAAGCTGCCTTCAGGAGTTGTGAGAACTTAATCTCTGGAGGCTTTCAAGAAGAGACTGGACTGCCATCCCTCAGAAATGGTGTAGGGACTCCTGCTTGGGCAGGGGGGTTGGACTAGATGACCTACAAGGTCCCTTCCAGCTCTGTTAACCAGTAAATTCTTAAGAATGGCATGCTTGGATGAAGAGAGAGAGAGAGAGAGAGAGAGAGAGAGAGAGAGAAACTCCTTCCAGCTCCAAAGCAGGGAAGAAAGACCCCGCTTGGAAGTTTCAAGCAATTTAATTCTGGGTTTCCCCCCACCCCCCACCCCCCCTCCCTTCCCCCATAACTCCAAGGCCTCCTTGAGAAAACCCGCACTTATCCCCAGGAAGGAGGTTACGGCTGCCGTTTATCAAAGCCCTGGGAGCGGAGCAAGGGAGATGTCGGTGGAGGCAATCTGTCATCCAAATGGATTTTCTTGGCCGGGCAGTCCTGCTCCGAAGGCCAAGTGGGAAAAGCGGGTGGGGGGGAGGGCGGGGGGGGCGCGAAGGGGGACTAAGTGAAGAAGTGCACAGCTTGTGCCGAAGATGCACGGCCCAAAGAGAAGCAAAGCCAGCTGTCCCAGGTCTGCCCACTCTTTTTCCTGCGAACAAGGCAGCTTTGCGGCTCCAGGAAGAAGGAGGAGGAGGAGGAGGAGGAGGAGGAGGAGGAGGAGGAGGAGATGATTCACATGCTGACAGTTCCTGAACCATCTTTAAGTCTGAAAGTACAACTTTCAAGCTGTCTCTTTTTACTGCCTGATAAGCTAAGACAGCTCCTTGCCTGCCTGCCTTTTCCTTCCTTCCCTCCCTCCTTCCTTCCTTCTTCTAATTTCTTTCCTCTCTCTCTCTCTCTCTCCACTAATTTTCCTTCCTTCCTTACTCTTTTGTTCCCTCCTTCCTTCCCTCTCTATTATTTCCTTCCTTTCTTCTAACTTCTTTCCTCTCTCCCCTCCACTAATTTTCCTTCCCCTCTCCCCTTCCATTCTTCTCCTCCTCTGGAATTCCTTCGTTTTCACCCTTCCTTCTTTCTTCTAACTTTTCCTCTCTCTCCCTCCATTAATTTTCCTTCCTTCCTTCCTTCCTTCCTTCCTTCCTTCCTTCCTTCCTTCC